TAAATGTACAAAATCTTTTGCGCTCAGCAAATTGCGGCATCGATAGAAAGCTTCTGTTGTGGTATTGTAAATTCTTGTGTTGGTTGCTTTTTGAGTGTCTAGTTTGCCTTTAGGAGATGATGTGTATTGCCACACTTATACATATATATATATATATATATATATATATATATATGGTTTACATGGTATTTTGAGTACCGAATTAGTCGTCTCTTGCATTGTAATTCCTCCCTTGCATTTGCCAACAATTTTATTATATGCTTCTATAAGTCATCTTGTTTGTCCATTATATAAGTATTGATTGAATCATTAGATCTCTTTTCTTGCACTCATTTTGGGTCTCTTTTCTCTGTTCACTTGGTCTTTTCATCACCATCCTTTGCAAATTGGTAAGGGTTGCTAGAGAATGGTAGTTATAGGTCTGAATACTTCACTTAAAGGCTATGTTGAATATTTGGAGGGAATTCGAATAATGTTTGGTGATGGTACCTTTTACTTCATTTGTTGCAATAAGTTCTATGATTTCAGTTCTTTAGGGATGCTTGGATATAAGATTTTTTTTTTTAGTTATTTTTAAAAAAAGTGGTATGGTTAGTTGTTAATGGGATTTTGAGTTTATATGAAAATAATTAAAGCTGATTTGATGTAAAAGTATGAGAGCGATGAGGTGAAGTGAACTGATGAGTAGTGAATTAAAGTTTATGTAATGTGAATATTGATAATATTAAAAATGATGAAGTTGAGTTAAAAAAAAATGAATGGTTTTTTTGTGAAATGTTTTTCACTTGTTTGTAATTTATATCTGCTATTTGCTAATTACTAATTGCATATTAACATAACTCATTTTCCATTATATTTTGAAAACTGATTTTTATAAGCATTTTTTTAATTCAAAACAGATATATTTTGTGTGGCTACTATTTGAATTACGATTTTTACAACATTTTTAACGTTGAACTTTAAATAATTTACAGTTTCAAATATCATTTTTTATTAATTTATATCATTTTTCACGTAATTCATGCAATCATACGGAGTAAAAAAAAAA